CAGCAGCACATCATGGCATTTAAAAACAAAAAAAACAACCCAAAAACATCCCAGAACTGATTCTGACAAGGCTTGAAACAATGCGTATCTGAACTACGGTCCTTTTCCTCTTCCTTTTTAAAAACAGCCACTTTAACCTTTTCTCACCCCTCATGTTCCAGTCTGACCTCCTCACCCTCATTCGCAGCAGGGTTCAGCCTCTCCATTCACACATTCAGAAATGTGCTGGCTCTGAATCCAGAGCAAATACACCCTCACCAGTGTTCTCTAGCCCCTCAATACTAGTCAGCTCTTTCACAGTACACAGTGCCCTTCTTTGATTCTTTTTCTGTTTCTCTCCCATTCCCTTACAATACTCCTTAATGTCCTTAAATCTTTTATTCAATCTACTTACCTTGGACTCTAGGGGGAAGGGGGGTGCTGTTGATTGAACCAGGGAGCCCTGAGCTACATCTCTAGCCCTTTTTATTTAACTCTGAGATCCCCCTGTCTCAGCCTCACAAGTAGCTGGGATTGCAGGCGCACATACTCCAGTCTCTTGACCGGCCATGACCTTCATGTATGATCACAGGAACCCAAAGTCATGAATACATCATGTTCTTCGACACTGACCATAACTAAGAGTCTATCCTCACACCCAGAAAATTCGCGCTCCTACATGACGGGCTGTTCGAGGCTCATTCATCCCTGGAATTTGTCTCCATCCTCTTCCTCCCTCAATCTAATCTCATCCTTTCCTGAAACTTTCCAAATTCCTCTTCCCTGCTACTCTCTTCTCCTTATGAGCATGCTAGCCCTCACTCACCCTTAAGAACAAAGCAAAACATTATAAACATATAAGAAGCTGCCTTCACTGCCCAGCTCACCTCTGTGGTCCCCTGGCTCTCGGGCTGAGGCCAGGGCCAGGGTGGCCATGTAGGAGGGATAGAAATCAGGTCCTGGGCCCGAGCTCACACATGGGTTAATTCCCTCTCACAGAGCAGAGAGGGCTTTTTATAACTCGAGGCCACTCCACGTGCCTGGCCTGTCTGTTTCACCGCACTGAGACACAGGACACTACATTGGCACCATCTTTTCAAAAATAAAGACCCAACCTTCAGTGCTTTTCATAGCAACCCAAAACCCACTAAGACAACGTCTGCCAGGCTTTGCTGTGCTACTTGCCTGGAAATGGCTCAAAGCCTGGTCTGTCTACTATCTTTCTGCATCTCAATCACTCCTTTCTTAACTGCTTTCTGGCTGCTGACTTCCAAACTGACAAATCCTCACAAACGCTTTTCTCTTCACATCACACTTGCTGTCTCTGGGATATGTGACAGTGTCAACTGCACTCCTTCTAGAAACTTCTATCTCTTGATTTCTTTAACCTACCCTATCCTGATTCTTTCTGTTCCGGCACTGACTAGGCTCCTGTTCTCTAACCTTTATGAGTTTCCCTTCCTTCTTACCACATCCATTTTCTCAGCCAGCCACGGTGGCACACACCTGTAATCCTTGCTACTTGGGGAGGCTGAGGCAGGAGGATCACAAATTCAAGGCTAGCATGCCCAACACAGTGAGAAGCAGTCTCACAACAAAAGAAAAGAAAACAAAAGCCATTCATTCTGCCAGTACACTCATGTGGCAGTATGAACCATGAGTAATCTCTTGTTCCATTCCAATGTCTCAACTATGACATTTATGTCAATGGGCTCAAAAATCAAGTGTTCAGGGCCAGGGATTTAGCTCAGTGGTTTCACCACCTGCTGCGCGAGCCCAAGGACCTGAGTTCAATTCCTGGTACCAAAAAAAAAAAATCAAGTGTTCAACTCAGTCCCGTCACGTGAACTTCTAATTATTGCTGATTGCCTCCACCATGAAAGCTCTCCAACAGTTCAGACCCAATGCCACACCATGGATCTGCTCCTGAAACCTTGTTTCCCAGCTGCTGCTGCAAACACTCTCCAAGTCCCACATACATCAGACACAGGAGATAGCCTTGGGTCGGCCCCTCGCCTCTCACAGTGCTGCTTAACAATGTCACAGGTTCTTCACGCCTCCAGAACAAGGCCAGCTCTAAACTCGAGGTACTCTGCTCCCACAAGTCCAGACAGTCGCATTTTTCACCCTCCTTATGTAAAATCAATTAAGAGGATGGCAAATAGATGCCAGCACATTCCCATATGCTTGCTGTCCTTTGCCCTGGCTCACACAGGAACTTCTGCTAGCTGGTCTGTTAAGTTGGTCCCATTTATCCCTATGGTGGTTAAGGGTTATCTGAAGAGCTCAGGAATGCATCACATTCTTGAGGAAGACTTAGCCTCCCCTGGACCCTGGAGTCAGGTCACTACTTCAGGCACCACACTGCTCACCTGGTCTTGCACTCTCTCTCCCACTGAGCCATGTGTACACGTGCTTCCCTTCCGAGTCGTACTCCAGTCTTACAGACTGAAGTCTGCCTCTCACCTGACACCCCAGTGCCCAGTGCAGTTCACCTGACGAAGTTCACTGCATGAGCTAGTGGATGAATCGTGAAAGAACGAACAAGCAACAAACAGAGTCACAGGGCCCATCTCTCCCCTCTGCTCTCAGCCCGCACTGTTAGTGTGTCTGACACACAAGTGAATAATTATTTTAGCATAAGCAGTCCATACTCTTTGCTTTGTCTTTTAATGTTTGTACTTTTAATGCAGTAACAAAAATAATAGATAAAAGTTGCTGAGGACAAATACTCATTTTTTGTTGTTGTTGTTGTTGTTGTTTAGTTTCTTTGAGACATTGTCTCACTATGTACTTCAGGGTGGCCTTGAATTCTTTAATTTACTATGTGGCCCAGGCTCCTGCCTCAGGCTCCTAAGTGTTGGGATTAAAGGTATGCATCACCATGCCTCTCCTTAAAGTAATATTCTTATTCTTATTTTACAGCCCAGAAAATTAAGGTGCCTACCTCTCCCCAGGCAGCAGACTACCAGAGAGTTAATCCTTCAAGAGGATATTAAAGCTGAGGGATCTCTCAAGTAACCCAGCCAGATTATGTGACCAGGCGAAAGTCTCACTTTGCAGACCTAATGTCCAGTCCAGTCAACATCTCATTCTTAAGTATGAACACATACATGATGAGGCAAAAGAAGAGCTTAGGAAATTTCCTGCAGAGAGGCAGACTAAGAGAGAGAACAACATAGATTAAGGCTAGCAAGTCAGAGCCGAGGGAAAACAGAGGGCAGAGAGACAGGGAAGAGGGACTGAAAAGGGAAGAAAAAAGAGAACAGGCAGAGAGAAAAACTGGGGGAAACAGGACAGTGAGAAACAGGGAGAAGAGAAATAAGGAAATGAGTGACAGAAAGGGGGAAGAGAGAAAAAGTTGAAGGAATAGAAAGAGAATGGAAGACACAGGAAGACAGAGAAATGGTAAGGGAGAGAGACAGAGACAGTAAGAAAAAAAATTTAAATCTTGGGAGCAACCTGTATGTCCATCAACAGATGGATGGATAAAGAAAATGTAGTATCTATACCCCAGAGTACTACACTCTGCTGTAAAGAAGGATAAATTTGAGTCCTGTGTAGGATCCACCTGGAGACCATAATGTTAAATGAAATAAATCAGACACATAGCTCTTAGATGAAAAACGTAGGGCCGGGGATTTGGCTCAGTGGTTCCACCGCCTGCCTCGAAAGCGCAAGGTCCCGAGTTCAATCCCCAGTACCAAAAAAAAAAAAATCAAAAAAACCCCAAAGTAAAAATAAAGAGCAAGATAAAAGGTAGATAACAGGAGACAGGGAGCTAGATCTTTCCTAAAATGGAAGGGAAACAAGAGGTGGGCAGGGAGGAAGCGGGGGAAGGAAAGGGGATTGAAAGAGGGATTGAGATGTGTTACATAGTGCATCAACTCCACACCAGGAATGTAGACATTATGTACTGCAGCACACATGTACTAATAAAAAATTACGCAGAGAAGGACAGAGTCAGGGCAAGGGAGAGAAGCCAGGGTAGAGAGACAAAAGGACAGGGAGAGGGGAGGGAGGGAGAGGGAGAGAGAGAGGGAAAGGAGAGAGACATGAAGGAGACAGAGAAACAGACACCTGGGGAGAAAGACAAACTGAAGCAAATATGAAGTCTTGGAGGAAACAAGTTCTATAACACCATCCTGTACTAGAAAAACAATGGTGCTGGTACAACATGTCTGCCACAGTCCACGGGGCCTGAACACAGATCACAGCGCACACCGAAAGCACACATGTGCAAGGGGCAAGGAGAGGAGCACACAAGGCAGTGTGGGTGAGTTTGGAGGGACAGGAAGCAAAAAGGCAAACTCGTATTCCTCAGCAGGAAGTCAATTAAAACTGAATAATCAAGAGGCTTCAGGGAAACTGTTATTTAAAAGCTTTAGAGGCAGCAGCAATTAGTAGTGGAGAGCAGTAGGGTAGCTCTAAGCCCAAGGAACCACTTGACTTTTTAAAACTATGTGCTTATAAACCTACAATCAATATATAAAAGTTATTTTAAAAAGCTCTAACAAGATTGCTGCTTGGATTCAACAAAATACATCAGAAGACTGATTCTGCATGGATTCTCTACAGTGTACCATTAGGCCCTTACAGAAGAATCGCATGAAAACCCAGCCGCAGCAAAGCGAAGCAGGTGGTTTTTAAAGGATACTAAGAGCCTAGACAAATGCACCATTTGATACAATAAACACATCGCTTGGGAACAAGAGAATACTGCAACAGACATGGTCATTTACAATCTTCCCTCCTCCCAGACACTACAGAAGCATTTCACACAAGCTCACACCTCTTGAGGCTGTTAGACCGGAAGAGGTCTCATTAAGTGCTGTTCATCCAGGGTAGATTATACACCCAGCCCCGTTATCTTAGCAGCAAACCTTTATAAAATGAATGACAATAGCAGGCCTTTAAAAACGAGGCATCCCTTCATTCCCTTGTACTGTGACTTCCCACTCCCCTGGAGACGCCCCCAATGCACCGTCCAGGGAGGCAGGAGTCTGTCTGTCTGCACTCACCCTGTTGAACACCGGCAGCATCATGTACAGCTTCTCTTCCTGCTCCTTCTGGGTCATGTGCCGGGGAGGATGGCACAGCTCTGTGAAGAGCCGGCGGAGGTGCATCAGACCCAAGGCGTTGTCCTGTGGACTGCACTCCTCCTGCCGCGGCCGGCCCATGATCCTCTTCACCATGTTCATCTTGGCTGGTTACGGAGAAACTCTTCTGATTCTGGAAGATGTCGAGATAGCAATAGTCAAAATGTTACCACTCTGACCAGGCCAAGCCTGCAGGTAAGTTTATCGAAATCCTAAAAATGGAAAATTCTGCCTAAAATATTTTTAGTTCTTTAAACAGAAAATTTCAATAGAAAACCAAAGTTAACGTTGATAAATCTGTCTGAATGACAAATTATGAATCATGGAATTTAAAGTTCTTCCTGGCTCTGACACAATTTACATAAAATATGAAATATTAATTGGACAGGTAACAAAATATTTCCAAATAAGTTAACCATGTCAAGTTAAAAAAATAAAAGAATCACAAACCTTACTCTATTAATATCTTGCTTACTAATTAGGAACATGTAAAAAGAACAGAGAATTAGAATGTTCTCCCTAACTTCAAAACATACAGCCAAAACTCCCACAAAATTTTGTATTTTTAATTTTTTTAATTTTTTTGGAAGAAAAATTACATTTTGAGTACCTGATAAAGTGTGTTGGTTTGAAAACATGCAAACCAGATGAAATGGTCTCCAAATATATCATAGAAATCATAAGGGTATAATGAAAATGATCATATACCTAAAGACCACTCCCTCATTTCATCTGTAATCTGTAAACTGACATCCTTGCCAAGCCGTGTTAATTCATTTAATGGGCAGTGATGAGCATTTCTTTTTAAAGAAATAACATAGAAGGTACTGGAACATACAGGATAAGGATAAAATACTAATTCGTTGAGGTTTATTTTAGGCAACGGTGTGTGTGTAATGAATCGTAAAGTAAAATGTATCTTGCTGCAGCAACTAACCACCACACTGACGTACATACAGAATCAATAACACTAAGCTTTCAGAAAGGATCGTTAGTCCCTTTCAACCACTACTAACTGTGCTAGCAATTAGCTGATTTCAGACACAAAAACAGGATATTTTACAAAAGAAACCAGGAAGGCTGAGAGCACATTACAGATATGCAGAATTTAGATAAAAAGTAGTTTGTTTTTTAGCCTGAAAAAAGGCAGGCAGCACTGAGATTAATCTTTCTTTAATTCTACTGCACCACCACATAAGCCAGCATGACTTTTCTTAGGAAATGAAGAGGACCTCAATGCTAGCATGGTATTTACTAAACATCTACTTGTGGCCTTTTAAAAGGATTAGAAGAACATGCATCTGAAACACGCTTGTCCTGAGCATGTGGAGCCAACAAACACCCTGTGGACTGCAGGAGCCTGCTCACGACCACAGGTCCCCTGCAACAGAGGGCTCAGGGGGGCTCATCACAGGGATGGGCACAAGGACCCTGCTGTGGCTGTCCGCTCTGCGGGTAGCCTGTGTGGAGAGCACCCAACACTTCCCAAGTGTTGGACTGTGGAGGAGGCCTGAACAGCAGGAAAGGGCTGAGCACGTTTAACTACAAAGTAACAAAACAGTCCCGTTCAAAGCTGGACAGCTTATTATTCACTTTTAGAAAATATTTAAAACTTCCAAATGTTAATATAAGGAATCTAAGAAATTATTCAAATAACCTACTATGTGCTGGTATTTTATAGTCCTGAAAATCCCTAGAACAAAAATAAAATTGAAGTACACTGTAAAAATGCTGGAAATTAGGTAACAGTTCACAAAACGCTCAGTCAGCTTGTGGCTAGAGTTCATAATCTAGAGACTGTGGATGGAATTTAGGGGATGCCTGATGCTCCGATACTCCAAAAAGTGTTTCCAGAGGGATCCCAACTTTCACAAGGGTCTGAGCCATTTAAAATTTTTTAAAACCCAGGAATCACTGTCTGCTTTGAGGCCACCTCATTTGCTTGTGATTCTCACCTAAGCACAGGGACTGAAGAAGGGATGAGCCCCACTTTCCCTCTAGGCTTTATCAAGGTATAACTCAAAAGTAAAAGTTGTAGTTTTTAAGGTGTACAACTTGATGTTTTTAAGTTTTTTAGAGAAATAATTAATTGTTGTGTATTACTTACGGGACAGGGTATGATAATTTGATATGGGTGTGTAATGCATCCTGAAGAAACCAGAGCACTTAGCATTTCCATCTCCTCTTTAACATCATGTCTTCATATTAGGAACCGTCAAACCTCTCTTCTAGTTCTTTATAAATATATAATAAATTGTGAACTACAGTCACCATACTGTGTTGTGGAATATTAGAACACATTCCTCCTATACAGTGCTACGTTGGTTCATGAATGCCTGTTTGCAAACAGTTTGGTTTGCAAACAGAAGTGTTTCGCAAAATTTTCTTTGTTTGCAAACTCTGCATTTGTCAATACAAATGTGGCCATCTTTTCCACAAGCGGAGAACAAATTAAGTTTGTGAACTGAGGTACCACTGTTTATTTTGGTATATGATGTCCAACCTCCTTTGACATTTTGATATACGTACGCTATGTGAAACAAAGAACACCATCAGGGTGGTTAGCATATCTACCATGGCTCAAAGCTACCATTAAAAAAATATGTCACCAAACCAAGCATACAACACAGTATTGTTAACTGTCCATCAGATATTCAGAACTGTGCACCCTTCCAGACCATTTCCCGATCCCCCCTGGCCCAGCGCCTGGCACCCCCACCCTACTCTCTTTCTGCTTCTAGGTGTCTATGTTCGATTTCTCACAGAACTGACATGATGCAGTACCTGTATTGAGGGACTAGCTATTTCATCCTCAACACAATGTCCTCAGTTTGTCTATGCTGTCACAAATGACAAGATTTCCTTCCCTTCTGAAGTAACACTCGGTTGGTATGTATATCCACCTGTTTTCTCAAACCCACTTCTGAGGGACATTTCGGTTGTTTCCACATCCTGGGTATTGTGAATAGCATTGCAGTGAGCTCTGAAGGGCAGTTCTCTTCTGGAGATACTGATTCTATTTCCGATGCACGTGTATTCAAAAGCAGGACTGCTACAGCATAAGGTTCCGCCTTTAATTTTTTTTTTTTTTTTTTTTTTGGTTTTTGAGACAGGGTCTCCCACAGTTCAGGCTGACCTTGAACTCACTAAGTAGCCCAGGCTGGTTTTGAACTCACTATGTAGCCCAGGCTGATCTTGAACTCACAGCAATCCTCCTGCCTCAGTCTCCTGAGTGCTGGGATTATATACGAGCACCACCACGTCCAGCCAGTTTTTAATTTTTAAAAGATCTCTAAATTGTTTTCTGTATTAGGTGTACCAGTTTACAATCCCAACAGTGTTCAAGTGTTCCCTTTTTTCCATATTCTGGCAAACGAGTTATCCTTCATCTTTCAGATAGGACCATTCTAAAGGCATAAAATGATACCTCTCTGGCTTCCCTGATGACTGTGGGTGAGCATCTTTTCACATAACTGTTGGTCATTTCTGTGTCTTCTATTGAGAAATGTCTGTTCAGGCCCTTGTCCCATTTTTAAATTAGGTTGCTTGGGTTTTGGCTATTGAGTTATGGTATTATAGATAGATGAGCTAGGTAGAAATATTATAGGCAGTCAGATATAGGTCCTTGAGAGGATTAGGACAAAGGTGAAACACACGACAGCTGCACCGCAGACCTATCAGTTAAAAATCAGGCCTCAAGATAAAGACAAGACGACCAGATCTACATACTTCCTCAAAGAACAACCACCAGGCCTAATGAAGTCTAGACAGACAGCTACCACCCCAGTGGGTAACCAGAGACCTCTGGACCCACCACTTCCTAGAAGAATCTTTGTTCTAACTACGCTTGTTACGTGATTTGTTTCCCAATTGGACCACCGTTACCTAAGAGACTATACTTGTAACCTTATTGGATGTTCATGGCTGTGGCCTACATTGTACCCTCCTGTGTAAAGTGCGGACCCTCCTGCCACTCAGGAGCTTTCCTATCAATAAATATCTTCCTACTATTAACCTCCCTTGTTCCTAGAATTCATTCTTTGATTTTTAGAGAACAAGAACTCAGAGTATCATACTAACAGGTTGGGAGATATACTATTTCGTATTTCATCTCTGGTAGTATTTCCTGTAACAGCAGGAGTCCCTTATATATTCTGGATCTTAACTCCTTAACAGGTACATGGTGTGCAAATATTTTCTCCCATTGTATAGGTTCCCTCTGAACTCCAGTGATTGTTTCCTTTGCTATGGAGAAGCTTTCTACTTTGATGCAATCTCACTTAACTCTTGCTCTCTTTGCAAAACAAACTTGTACTGTCAAAAAAAAATCACTGCCTAACCAATATGAAGAAGCTTTTTCATTATGTTCTCTTCTAGTAGCTTGCCTTCTCATGTTACATGTAAATCTTTAAATTAATTTGAGTTGATATTTGCATATTGTGTAAGGGTCCAACTTCAGCCTTTTGTATGCACATCATTTATTATAGACTGCTTTTCTCCATTGTGTTTTGGGCACTTTTGTTAAGATCAGTTGACAGTAAATGCATGGAATTACTTCTCTATTCTGTTTCACTGACCCACGTGTTGGTTTGAATGTCTGCAAATACTGCTAAGATTACTGAAGTTTGGAGATGTATTTTGAAATCAGGAAGCATGAGGCTTTTAGCTATGTTCGTGTTGTTCAAGACAGTTACAGCTGGGATATTTGTGGTTGCATATGAATTATTTTTACTTACTTTTTCTTTTCTTTTTGAGGTAGAGTCTCACTATATCACCTTTGCTGGGGTCAAATGCCTTGTCTCAAGGGATCTTCCTGCCTTATCCTCCTGCATAGCTGGGACTCCAGGCATCACCTAGGTCCCAGTATGCATTTTCTATTTCTGTAAAGAGTACCACTGGGATTTTGATAGGGACTGTACTGAATCTGTAGGTAACTGTAGGCAGTATAGACGCTTTAACATTAATTCTACCAACCCACGACAGTGGGATCTTTGCATTTATCTGTATCTTAATTTCCTTCATTAGTTTATCACTTTCAGTGCAGAAGTCTTTTACTTCTTTGGTTAGGTTTACTTCTAATAATTGAATCCTTTTTGTTGTTCTTATAATGGATCTGTTTCCTCTCTTAATGAA